GGGGGGGGGGGGGAGAACGAGTTGCATGGGTGCATTGAAACAGCTAATAACAACATTACAGCACTGTGGACATAACTCTCATCGACCAAACTTCTTTTGTCTCAGCCTTTTTCCCTTACGTGTAATCCAACCTCGAAAATTCACTTTGGTTAATAAAACAGCATTTAAAGGAGGGGAGAGTGAATGCACACAAAAAACACGTGGTTAAAAAAAAAAGTTCAACATTGGACAACACAAAGCGTATACTTAGAAGTCAAAATATCATACTTCTAATGAATTTATAAGTCAACATATTGTGACTTCAAATTACCTTATAGGTCAACATATCATGACTTCAACAAATGACCTACAAGTCATTGCATCATGACTCAAATAACTTTATAAGTCAACATATGATGGCTTCAAATGACTTTATAAGTTAACACATGACTTCAAATGACTTTATAAGCAGATGTTGATTTTTTATCCATTATAAGAAAATCCACCAAAATGAGACGGGAGAAATAAATTACGATCTATCTTATATAAACATTTTTTTAAATTGAAATTGTGATTTTCAATATACAAGACATTTTTTTAATTTACACAGCAGCCTTTGAAAATGAGCCAATTAATTTACACAGCAGCCTTTGAAAATGAGCCAATTAGTTTACACAGCTGCCTTTGAAAATGAGCCAATTAGTTTACACAGCAGCCTTTGAAAATGAGCCAATTAGTTTACACAGCTGCCTTTGAAAATCAGCCAATTAGTTTACACAAAAGCACTTAAAATCAGCCAAATGCTTTACACAACAGACTTTAAAATCAGCCAATTAGAAAACACAGCAGCCTTTAAAAAATCAGCCAATTTGTTTAGAAAGCAGACTTTAAAATCAGCCAATTAGTATACACAGCAGCCTTTAAAAAATCAGCCAATTTGTTTAGAAAGCAGACTTTAAAATCCTCCAATTAGTTTTAAAAGCAGTGTTAAAAACCAGCCAATTCGTTTAAAAAGCAGATCTAATATTTAAATAAGTCTTTCAGATTATATTACACATCAAATTTTTCAATACATAAAAAAAAACATCCAAAGGGTTGTACACCAAAGAATATACTTTCCTTTTTTTAAATACTTTTTAATTCAATTTTTTAATCATTAATTTCAAATGTCTATACCCTCTTAGCCAAATCCAACACAACTTAAATGTCTAGTGTCAAGTAAAGACTGATATATCTAACCTCATCTAATAAGTGAGTTATCCAACCCCATCTTTTGAGTTGTTTATCTGACCCCCATCTATTGAGTGGGTTATCCAAACCCATCTATTTAGTGGGTTATCCAACCGGATCTAATAAGTGAGTTATCCAACCCCATCTTTTGAGTAGTTTATCTGACCCCATCTATTGAGTGGGTTATCCAACCCCATCTATTGAGTGAGTTATCCAACCCCATCTATAGAGTGGGTTATCCAACCCCATCTATTAAGAGGGTTATCCAACCGGATATATTGAGTGGGTTATCCAACCTCATCCATTGAGTGGGTAATCTAACCCCATCTATTGAGTGGGTTATCCAACCTCATTTATTGAGTGGGTATTCTGACTCCAAAATGATCCATATAGAGAGAAAGTGACGAAACAGGATAGGTGATGAAACAGGACAGCTGACAAAACAGGATAACCGATGTAACAGGATACAGGATAGGTGACGAAACATGATAGCTCACGATTTTGTTTAAAAAATCACTAAGATTTTAAGATTTTAATATTATTATTTTACGCAGATTGTTTTTTAACTGTTTTCTTATATCATCATATGCTGCGCATGAAATACTACAATGTAAACAAAATATTATTCAATTTTTTTTTAGATCAATAATATATGTATGTGTTTTAAAAAACATATGACATTTAAGGCTGATTAGATACAGAATACATATATGCCATACTGATCAACAAAGAAGTTAAGTTGTGTGCTTTTGTGTCTGCAGTTGTATGTGCATGCATGTGTTAAATGTGTTCATTAATGCTGACGTATGTTTTAATAAGTGGTGTTGTATGTGTTCATCATTGGTGTTCTATGTTCATCAATGCAGTTTTATGTTACATTAACTAAGCAACGATTCCCTCAAAGTGAACATTTAGCCAGTTTTTAGGAATGTATAAAAAAATATATTAAGTGCTAAATAATTTAATGTTACAATATTAAATGTTAACATTGAAAGCTACACAAAATGTGAAATGTTATAATTTTCATTGGCATTAAAATGCTAATGACAGACATGATTTAACATCAACCAATTAAAATTATTCATTAACAAAAAATTTGTTTAGAAAGACAAAAAGTGAAAATTTAACTCCATTTCCAAGCAGTAAATATTTCACTTAAGGTATGTACAGGAATTTTTACAAGAATGTTACAATACTTATTTTTAAATTTACATTCGCTATGTCTAGACTGATGAAGTCATACGTGGGTAAGATGATGAGTGTGTGATGCATGCGCCCACACTAGATCTATAAAGGTGTCATTTATTATTCTAAGGTTTGGATCCAAAGATAAAATCTTCATGTAGGTATACTGTTCTATACATGTATTACATTTGATATTAAACTTAAATAGAAATTTCTATTTATAACCCAGCAAGTAGGACAATGCCCTCCAGTAGGTCTACTCACTAGCCCCAGATAAGAGAAAATGGGAGGGGATGAGATAAGAATTGACAGGAGGGAGGGGATGGGAAGGGGTGAGATAGGAGGGGATGAGATAGGAGGGGATGGGAGGGGTGAGATAGGAGGGGATGGAAGGGATGGGATGAGAGGGGATGAGAAAGGAGGAGATGGGATAGGAGGGGATGATAGGAGGGGATGATAGGAGGGGATGGAAGGGGTGGGATGGGAGGGGGGAAGATAGGAGGGGATGGGAGGGATGGGAGGGGATAAGATAGGAGGGGATAGATGGGATGGGAGGGGATAAGATAGGAGGGGATGAGATAGGAGGGGATGGGAGGGGATAAGATAGGAGGGAATGGAAGGGATGGGAGGGGATAAGATAGGAGGAGATGGAAGGGATGGGAGGGGATAAGATAGGAGGGGATGAGATAGGAGGGGATGGAAGGGAAGGGATGGGATGAGATAGGAGGGGATTGAAGGGATGGGATGAGATGAGATAGGAGGATAGAAGGGATGGGATGGGTGGGGTGAGATAGGAGGGGATGGGAGGGGATGAGATAGGAGGGGATGGGATGAGAGAGGAGGGGAGGGAATGGGTGGGGGTGAGAT